GGGGCGGCCGGAGCTGTAGGCGGGTAGCATTGGCTGGGAGCGGGGGCGGTTCTGGCTAGGCAGGGGGGGGGTGCACAGTCACACAGAGGGCAAAGGGGTGTTTAAAAAACGTGGAAGATCAATAATAAAAGCACAGAGTGGAGCTGCCTGGTATGTGGGGGAGGGGTATTGGCAGGAGGGAGGTCCCTGGAGAACAAGGCACGGGCAGCGCAAGTCCTGAGCAAGGGAAATGGAGAGCTGGGGCTCCGGGGAGCAGGCTCAGAGGGATGTGGGGGCTTGTTGGGGCAGGGAGTCCAGGTTTCTGGGTTTTCTCCCTGGCTCAGGGCAGTTGCCTCAGGCTGTGAACTGTCCTGCTATGGAGCAGTGCTTCCTGCCTTCACCACATGATGACGCCTGATATCTGGCAAGAGGTGGCTGTGTGGCAGCCTGCCTGCTTGTGACCCGCTTTCCCAGGCAGACAAGGGAGGGGCCACTTGCTGAGCCTGGCACAGACAAGGCAGGGCAGGAGGGAGGCCTTGGGCACTGGCCTGGCTGGGAAGAGGAGCTGGGAGCAGGCTTGGACCCACTGCAGGCCAGCTTCAAAGGCAGAGCAAGCGGCACGTGGGAAACCAGCAGCAGTGACTCAGCCTGCTCCCAGATCCACCCTGTGAGACAGCAGCTGCACCCTGTGCTCATGAGTGCCCTGCAGCAGCAGCTGGGGGCAGGAGGGCTTGTAGGGCAGGGTAGCAGGGACGATGGGTTGGGAGGGCACTGGGCTAGCTGGGGCTAGAAGGGGACATAGGGGAGGATAGCAATGGCTGAATCAGAAGTGAAGGGGACTGGCTGAGCTCGGTAAAAGGGGACCCTAAGTGGGTAGCGAGGGACTGGCAGAACTGGTGGGGTGCCCAGGGAGAGGCGGGAGGGGCAGCGCCTGGTCTGTGCCAGTCCCATCTGAGCAGCCCCATGCTACATTACCTGGCAGGGTGGAATGAGGAGCCAGCTAGGTTGCTGCTGGGGGGCAGGGAGCCAGGCTGGGTTGGGCTGGAGGCCACCAGCATAATGGGGTGCTGGCCCTGGCCCCATCCTGACAGCCCCAGCCGCCTGCTGACTTCAGGCCAGAAGCATGAAGTGCGGCTGCTGCCCGATTTGTTCCAGGAGCAAGCGACATTCTTTCCATGCTGAGCTCAGCCCTGCCACATGTGGGGGAGGGGAGGCACTCAGCCTGGCCTGGATGGGGCCTAACCAGGCTCCTGGGGCATGAATTCTCTTCCCCACCCCACCCCCCAGCACAGCCAGCCTGTTGCCAGCACTGGGACCCATCTCACCACCCTTGTTGCCACAGCAGTTGCCTCCCCTTGGGGAAAGAAGGCCTTGGGAGTGGAGAGCTGGCAGGGAGTGCAGAGCTGGCAGCCACTGCATGCAGGGGAGAAGGGCTGCTCTGGAGTTGGAGGGGGCGCTGTTGCCCATTAGCCAATCTCCTGCGTGAGGTTCAGTTGGTCAGTCTTCTGCCTGTTTTCCCCTGTGATTTACAGGTGGAGGGGACTTGCCTTAGTGCCAGTGTCCCTCCCAATCCTACTGATTAGCCACAACTAGGTAGGCCTGAGATTTCCCCCTCCACACCCCACTTGGCATCAGTTCAAACTCCTGGCCTGTCCCCAGCTGGGGAAATGGGGCCCAGTTTGGGCATGCCTCTCATTCCCTTATTCTGGTAGGGGGAAATGAAGGATGCTTGAGAAGCAGAAGTGGCTGCAGACCTCCTCACTAGAAGCCTTGCTGATTCCCATCCACCCTCCATCTCACCTAGTGTCCCCTTCAGCCACCTCCTACCCATGGTGGGATGTGTCCCCCACGCAACAGTGCCCACTTGCACCAGTGTGTGCCACCCTCTGCCCCCCATTTCTTTCCTGCAAGAGTTCCCCCATTGGTCCTGCACCCCCCACAAATTGCTTACTATGTACGCCTCCATTAGTAACCCCCACTGCAGCCCCCAATCTCAAACCATCTTTTATTAAATTCATATAAAAACATAACAGAAAATTCATTTAATAATTAAAAACCTCAAAAAAAATCCTAAAAAAAATCATAACCTCCCCCAGAGACTCCCCACTACCAAAAACAGAGGAGGCTCAAGTGGGGGTATTGCTAAGGAGTTGTCCAGCTGGCTAGTGATTATCAATGCACTGGGGAGCTTCTGGAGGCCCCTTCTACATCCTCAGATTTCAGAGAAGGGATTCCCCCACCCCAGCCTGTGCCATTGGTTGCTTTCCCTCCTTTCCTCCCCCTTCAGCTGGGTCTAAGGACCGGATGGATCATTTCTTCTGGGGGGTGCTGAGCTTCTGCATGCCCCGGATCTTGTCAAGCAGGTCACCCACAAAAGCCTGACATGGGGAAAAACAAGGGTTATGGGGTGCAGTAGTGAAATGCCCTTTTCGCTAGAATCCAGGAGTCTTCCCACCCCCTCACCTACCTGGCCCTGCCGTAACCCCCTAGACAGATGCTCTCCCCTCAGACATGCACAGGACCTACTCCCAGACTGGTTCTTCTCCCCAGTTACCCAGAATCCTCTAAGGATACAGCCCCTACCCAGCAGTAGTTTCAGGAGGCCTCAGAAATCAGCTCTGGAGAGGAAACCCCCAAATGACAGGTGTCAGGGGTGGGGAACTGGAGAGGGAAGAACAGCTGCTAACACACACACACACACACACACCCCTCCATTGAGCACAACAACTGCTGAAAGCCATCTATCCCCTCCTCCCTCCCCATTGACAGAGGCAGGGCCCAGTGTTCTGGCTCCTGTGCCTGATGGAGTGGGACCTGGCACTCACCTCAGTGGGTTTGTAACAGTCAACCAGGAGCTCCTGGGGAAGGAAAAGAGGGGGGGGTCAGGGCTTGGCGAGGCCTCTTGGGCCTGATACACCCCTTCTTTGGGCCCTGTTGCCATCCCCAGCATAACAGTCTTGCAGTGCAGCTACCTTGCCCCTGCCTTTCTGCCCCATAGCCTGGTGCACCATCTCCCCACCTCAACTTATATCCCCCTCCTTTGTAGCTCCCAGCCCAGCTTCCTCCCCTGCCTGGTCCCTATGACTCCCAAGACTTTACCACCACCCTCCCTTTGGGTTCCCCACCCTTTCTGACTGCGTAATGCCCAGTCCTGTGACCTAATCTCTCCCCCCCTCAACAAGCTGGCATGTGCCACCTCATCCCATGGGTGGCAAATACAGGCCCCTCCCTACAGCCAAGCCAGTGCTGTCCCCCATTCTGCCCCCACCAAGCTGGCTACTATCCCCCACAGCCTGGTGCTCTGCTTCTCCAACCCTTTCCCTCAAGCCTGGCACTACACACCACCGTCATCTCAGGTACCTCACTAGTCCCAGCCCCATCCTGCTCTCCTCTCCTTGGACTCCCAGCTGAGCCCCACACCAGCCCCGGGGTGTGGGGCTCTGTGTCTGTTGGTAGGGGGACCCTGCTGTACCGCCTCCCTACCTTCACCCTGGCTCCCCGGGCCTCATCGCTGCCCATGTCCAGCAGCTCATCTACATCAATCTCCAGCTCTGGGATCTCCTCTTCCTGGGGAAGGGATGGAAATAATGGGGGAGGGTTAATGCACTGGGGTAGCTAAGAACCAGGTGGCTCCCACCTTGGTGTGAGTCAGAGCACTGCATGCTGGGAATAGTCACACCTACCCCCATCACCCAGCCCCCGCTAACGTATACTGGGAATAAGGGGGTGAGGTGAGGGATTAGTTGGAAGAATTTTAGCAGCATAACAGGAATGGCCTAATCAGGTCACCCGCCACTCCAGAGCCAGAATCACCCCCCATCAGTTCCCTGGCTCAGTAAAGTCTGGAGTTGGGCGCCTCCCCCCCAGGGGGCCATGGCAGGCACCAGTCTAAGCAATAGGCGTCTGCTCCCAAGCAGCTTCAGCTTCTTACAGCCCCATTAGCCGTCTCAGAGACACGCTCCACATGGTGCATCTGGCCCTGTGCAAACAGCCCTGGCGCCTCCCCCCGAGGTGGCTGCACCTCAGCTCCTGGGCGGGAGCCCTGCGTGGGCCCCTCCCCCCGGCGCTGTGTGTGCAATCGGGAGTCACCAGAATCCAGACGGAGATTTGGAAACAGGAAGCTTAGTCAGCGGGAATCCAGGGAGGAGTCAAGCGCCCTCCCCCCACTTGCCCCACCCCTTGTTCTGGGGGGGGGGGCGCCAACGTACACTAGCCGGTGCCCCCGTGGGGGGATTCCCCCACCAGCCAAAGCTGATTAACGCCAGCAACCCCCACCGGGAAACGGCCGGGACCCCGAACCAAGGGGCGGGGGTAATTCGCCTTCCCATAGGCAATTCTGGAATTAACCCTTTAGGCTCCATCCGGCCCCAGAGTAGAAACGAGGGCGGGGTTTCCAGGCTGCGTGTCTCCCCCCACTCCATCGGCTGAGACTTTAACGCGATTACAGCCAGCAAAGGAAATCCTTGGAACTAAGCAGCGTGAGAAACCTTGAGCCACCTCCCCCACGGGAGTGTGTTTAGCCGCTGTCCCATCCTGCCCCAAATCCGCCGGCCAGAGGGCAAAGCCTGGGGCGGGTTGTGGCTGGTACTTAAGGGGAGCACGAATCCCAGGGGGTCCCAGTCATGTGCCCGGGCGAGGCCCTCTGGCGCCCGGCTCTTGGGAGGGGTGTTCCTGAGTATGGATGCGGGGCCACCATGGTGGTTATAGGGAAATTGGGGGGTCGGAGGTCCTTGGCAATCAGAGATGGGCTGTTCCTGGGCTGGGGGCAGGGTACCTGGCAGTCGTACAGCTGCGTGAGCTGCTCTAGGATCCACTCCTCCAGGTTGAGCCGCTTGCGAAGCTCCTTGCGATCGTATTTCACCGTGACCTTCCCCTGGCGCCGGCCCGGCCCCTCCTCCTCCTCCTGGCCCGGCTCCCCCGGGGGGTTCTGGAAATATACTCGGGGGCCTGTGGCCCCCGCCGGGCCGCTCTCTGGGCTGCCAGGCGC